CCCCGTATAATAGCTTTACATATCATCACATGATTTTGTACCGGTTGGACTTGGACCCACCACATGATTATCTGTCGATTTCGAAGACTCCTTACCGGAAGTGCTCGCTTCTGTCTGAACAAAACCATCGCTCGACTTTACCGATTTACTCTCATTAGTTACAGCCAAGCCCGGAACAACCAAATCGGGCCCACCAGACACTGACGAAAGAGAATCTTCTTCTTCGTCATCTTCCGAAGACTCCCCATTCGGAAAAGCCTCTTTATCTCCTCCAGCCCTCGACTTTCTCGAAAGCACGCTTTTCAAGCTCCTTGCCGATTTTCCAGCCTGTTTCAAAATACTCTTCGCCACACCCTTCACATTGCCACGCGGGCTTCCCGGGCCATTCCCTCCATCCACCTCACTCTCTTCAACTTTCGACATAATAGATTCGTCCATTATCCACCTCACCCCAACCTCTTTCGAATTCGAAGCCCTTATATTTTCACGTGGGGACTCCTCCACCAAACCAATCGGGCCCGGGCCCGATGACTTGTCATCGTCCCTCGGGCCTCTGTGGAAAACCGACGAGATTTTTCTCAAGCCTCTCCGGACTTTCGAAGGCGATTTAACGGGCTCGGTGCTCTCATCGGTGCTCGTGGTGCCATCGTTTTCGCACATCTCGCCTTGAATGAGCCCGTTTTGGTGGTGGGCCCGGTTTTTTCCTTTTCTGGGTTCCCACACTTGTGCCACCTCACTGCCCGGGTGGTGGATCCAAAGCCCCGTGTCCGATTGTCCCTCGATATCGATGGGCTCGAATTTATCAGCAACTTGTAAGGATTTTTGTGAGGATTTTCCAGATGGTTCGCGTGAAAACGAGTCTTTTCGTGGGGAAGAATCATCGGTGAAAGAGGTTCTTCTTCTAAGGTTGTCTTCTTCGAGTATTTCTGCTTCAGGTGGAGCTTCTACAACCTGCTTTAATGATGAAAATATAAGGCGCTTGTCAAGAGAAAAAAATTCGATCTAACAAGATAATAATATTAATCCACTATTACTGGCCAAGAAGCTCACAAAGATCAACTACAAGTCTACAACACAATGTACGTGTATTTGCATGGTCGATGAAACGATTAGTTAGTTTTANGGAAAAAAAAAAAAAAAAAAAAGATCAAGTTGTTAAACTAAACTAAAGCACTCACAGCTGATTTTGCAACTTCTGTTCCAATTAACATGTCCACAACAACGTAGCCTCAATTTCACTTTCAGACATACATCTTTGGCACGCTTCCTGCAACACTCGCTCCTCTTTTACATTTTAAGGTACAAATTAGGATATTTGATCGAGTTTTAACGGTTAACCAAATCTTCAAAAGTCAGTCATTTTATTTTATTAGTACAAATTAGGCACTCGCATCGCTCGTCTCCACTCGCTCAATAAATCTATAGCTCAAGTGGTGGCGCACTCACGAAAAGATTTCCACATAAAAATTTCTAGGAGAATGAAATAATTTCGAGCAGAGCAGCATTTCCAATTTTCCTAATTTATTTCAACAACTTATGAACTGAATAACATTAAAGCTGGACTAAAGATTATACCTTTGCAGTTCCTTCAGATACAGTCACCGCAAGATGCAATCTTCCCATCTTAATGTTCTGAAGGGGCAGCCACATGTCATGCCTCTGCCCGTCCCGAAGTTCGTTAATGTTCACACAACAATCTCTGCATTATTTGCAAGAAAACTAGTTTTTTTTTTTTAAAAAAAAAAGGACTAAAAAGCAACAGTAGATGAATTTTCCAAGAAAAAACTATAACGGGTTACGGGCCAAATGTTGAAACAAGAAAAGAACACAAACCCCATTGTGTCATCAAATATGCGGTCCTTATCACGAACTTCAATGACGAGAATGTTGTCCGATTCCCACGAGCAGATGGGGATTTTGAATTCCTCACGCCATTTTGGAGCTAAGGTTTTCTTCTGGGTCTTTGTCCGAAATCTGTAAGGTCCTAATTGACCCTTCACGTATGGATCAGCCAATCCTGAAAACCAACACCTGTTTTAACTAACTAACATCCAGCAAATCTGAAGGCACGATTAGCTTGTCACGAAAAGTAAACTAACCATTCAAGTCTGATGGCTTCATCTCAGTAGCTTCAAGAACCTCTACAATAGCATGCGCAATAGGATCTTTCGCATCAACTGAGAACCAATTTTCTGAAATTCGAGAAAATTTTGTGAAGACAAGGAAAAAAAACCAAGAGAAATGAAAAACAATCTTTGATAGCTAAATAGTTACATCAGCTTCATAGAGAAATCCGAAGGGCTGGTGATTAATTTTTTTACATTTGAATAAATATATAACAAGTGAGAATACCTGGTTGGGGTGAGGCGAACTTTACGACGTCAACCACAAGCATATTAGGCTGCAGATTTAAATACATACAAAGATGAAACGAGTAAACAAGATAATAGCAAAAAGCAGAAAAACTAAAGAAAGCATACAAACAACAATAACATTGCTTCTATCTCTATACTTCTCAACTGTTGAAACCACAGAAGCACAGAATCTCACCTCCACTAGAGTTTGCTCAAACACGAGCGCCAGAAGATTATCCTAAACCCAAAAAGGGAAAGTAAAGGGACACATAAAGTCAGACAAATGAGAGAGGGAGAATGAGCTAGAAGGTAGTCATGTACTTACTATCCAGCCAGCAATGCCGGGAAGTTCAGTTACATCAAGGCCGTGCGTGAATATAGGCTTCACAGTCATTTGAAAATAAGGAGGCCCAGCAAAGCATACGCGCAAACGACTAATAAAAGGCCAGCTACGGATGAACTTAACCCCAACCAACACCTGCAATAAGGAAAATGCATTGCCATTCGTATTGTGCATTCGATAAATTAAGAAAAAATAGCAGTGGTTTGCAACTGGGTCAGAAGTAAACTATAGAAATACTTCAGAATGTCAAGTGACCGTGTAAATAATTAACTTAAAGTCAATTTTTTGACAGCGAAACTAACTAATTGGAAACCGATTAAAGAAGGAAAGGAATGGAATAAATCGGGCTTAAGTATATTACACAACTATTCAGGCTGCATACAGATTTATAGAGTCCATCTTAAATCTTTTGCTCACCTTCCCTTCAACATGCATGCCCAACAAATGCAACTTGGCCCACATTCCAAAACCGAGTCTTTTCCTAAGTTTTACACCAAGAATCGCACTCATATCATCCGCGGTACGAAAATTCATCCCCAATTCAAGAACCTGCAGCATATTATCAAATAATCACTATTCATACGAACTAAATCCTATCTGTAGATCACCTCTATTAAACCTTGCTTACCAAGTGATCATCGCCATTAGAGTGTTGAACAACCCTCATATCAGTAATTATAGGTGGTGATCTTCCTAAGTAAAGATGCTGAAGCTCAACGTCTTTCTGTACATACGAAAAAAGGGTTACGAGATGAAGGTCGAAAAGAGAAAGGGCAGGAACCATGTGTATCGATTATTAAAAAAAATGTATATTTTTCCCCAATAATAACATGAGAAAATTTTAACTCATTAAAAAAAAATGTACATTTTGTCATACCACTGTCCAAGGCTTATATTTTTTCAAGAACCATGGGAATATAGGGAGAAGAATCTTCTGAGAAACTATCTCCTCTATGCAGATAAGCCAGATCTTCTCAACTGCATGGTTCAGCCATCTAACAGTCTCCGATTCCGAAAGCACCTATAACAAGTACAAGAAAGACACACTGATTGCCGTTTAACTAAATGGTCTTAAGAGAATCATAAGCTTCAACTTCTTAAGAAAAGGCCGATTCAAAATGGGATCTTAGTCCTTTCAATAATCAAGTGAACAATCAGCAGCCATGTTATATCAAAAAAGTTGAGAACTTTATTCACATTATAGTATCCTAAACCTCAGTAGAATATATATTCAAAAATCAGTATCCCCTTTTTGTTCTTTTTCGTTCTTTCTTTTCCCCTCCTAACTCCTATCTTCAACTTCAAAAATTCTGAAAGTGATTTTGGTCTATGATATGAAAGCTAAAAAGGAAAACAGTTACTAACAAATTTAAAACAGAACAAGAAACTGAAAAATGATCATTTACCCGTCTTTGATTAGACTCTCTTTTTTCCTCAAACTGCAGCTTTTTTCTCAATTTCAGCACATACCCTTCATGAACCTTCAAGTTCACCAAAACCCATCAGTCCCAATCTCATCAATAGATTTTTCCCATTAATTAAAAAAAAATATATATTTCAAAAATACAATCAAAACAAAGAGCCTCACCAGATAGAGATATATTAGAGAGAGGAAATACGCAACGGGATGGCAACATTCGAATGAATTGAGACACCATAGCAAAAGCAGCACAACGCAGACATGATGCAAAATCGTCGCGTCCGTTATACTACCCATCTAATTATCTTATCCTTAATCAAGAAAAAAAAATTAACAAAAGATCCACTCGATTAAGAGACAAACACATATATAAACACACAGCAGGAATTCATTTTCTTCAAACTTGCTCCATCTGGGTCGCCACTGTTCAACTGCATTCGCCACGACCAAGAGAATTGCAGAAAACCTTGCAGCTGATACATATACCGATAAATACTGACATGGGTTCTTGAATGAGAGTAGACTTTTTTATTTTTATTTTTTTCTAATTTCAATAAAAATTTGATCTTTTTCACTCGTTTTGAAAATTTTCAGACTTATTAGAAGACTGAGCCCAATAAAAGATGGGGGTGGCGTTGATTTTACAGTTTTTTTGCTCTCTCAATGTTTCACTCTTTTCTGCCATTTTTATAACAACTGGATAAATACGTAATAAATAATTTATTTTATATTTTATTATTAATTAACTCTGGTAAGGAATGGACAGTTTGTGCCACGTGGCGGTGCCACGCGAAACAACGCGCCAACAACGCGACATCGCTGCAGATAATGCGGTTATCAATTCGTATTTATCTACAGTTGAGACTTAATTAATTCATTTTAGTTAACGAATAAAACACAGATTCTTTAAAATATATTTTTTTCCCAATTGATTTTGGCATTTTAAATTTTATCATAAAATTTTCCTGTTGTTGAATTGAGGGCTCTTTCGTGGGACAACCATTTGTTGGTACTATTGCACAAAATTGACCATAATCAATAAATATATATAATTACTAGCTGATGCATATAATAAAACATTTAATATAATTTATTTTTATTTCTCTTCAAAAAAAGTTATATTTTTTTTAATCAATTACTCACTAATCTGCTAAAACCGTTACTCCTTAATATATATATTTTTATCATTCATTTTTTGGATCAGTTACTAAATTAATTCTAAATTTGGTAGCAAATATTCAAATGTGTAGCAGTTAATGTTGGAACTTAAAGTTGATTGGCACATTCAAAGCTGTAACCGGTATATTTGGTCGCATTGTTGGAAAAAAAATATGATTGGCACATATTTTTTTTTTCTAAAAATCAGAACACCAATAATTTTTTTATTTATGTTAATTTTTTTAATATATGCCACAAATATATAAATTATTTCATTCATATTATTATTGTAAACGTTGCATGGTTAAAATAAAATTTAAATCTCAATTAATTTTGAATGATCAAATAACTTAAGTAATAATTTTTATATGATAGAAATACATGTCTAATTAATAAATACAAACAAAAACGTGTTTTATATATGCGCAAATACACATGATCAAATACTATTTACTAAAGTAACGTGGATGAATAAATAAATAAACTATACTTAGATGTGTTGGTTACACGAAGTATTATTTGGTTTTTTTACTGGAAAAAAAAATAAGAAAAAATCAGTGTCTCATAGGTTTTAGTGTGATTTAAAAAAAAAAAAAATACCAATCCTTAGCTTTTATATGAATTCTTCACCACGAGTAGTAAATCACTGATTTTTTCAATCTTTTCGACCTTGGTTTCATAGGTGTGTCGTCTTTTTATACTTTATAAAGTTATACTTTTATTTATGTTATTAGTTAACATATGATAACTATTAAAAATATGTATATTTGTGATAATAAATATTGGTCTAATGGTTAGGCCAATTATACAGGACTATTGATATTGATATTATTATTATTTAGGCTGACATTTGCACGTCAGACTAGTACCTATTGATAGTGTTATTAATTAGTCTAACATTTGCACGTTGATGTAACACAAGATCAACCGTGAACAATATGATGCAAATAATTTTCTTATTAAGTTTTATTCTAGTGCATTCACAAGCTTCAATTAATCACACTAAAAACGACAAAATGTTCACATATTCAAACAGGACGAGGTACTGAACATACAGCGTTGCGTTCACACTAGGAACGGTACCGTAATTAACCAATTCAAGTGTGAACGCAACGGTGTATGTTCAATTCAAGCAGGACGAAGTACTGAACATAGTTGCATTCACACTAGGGAATTGATTAATTACGGTACCGTTCACACTAACGATGTATGTTCAGACGACAGCGTTGCGTTCACACTAGGGAATTGATTAATTACGGTACCGTTCACACTAACACTAACGTTGTATGTTCAGACGAGAATTCGAGCAGGACGAGGTTTGGATGGATTTATCTTCTCTTTTAGTAATGATTTTTCAACTAAGCCTTGGGATCAAAATTTACTCAAGCTTATTCCTTAGTTAATTATTCAGTTGTTATTTCATCTACACTTTTTCATACAAAATACTCTCTCAATAAATAAAATTTAGTAGTCAATGACCGGATTGAGTTTGAATTGATAGTACACATTTGGCTACTTCACTAGTTCAACTATATTATTTTCCTACTTTTTAAATAGGCAACAAACAACATAGAAAATAAATGTAGCTTTAATGAAAGAACAATTGATTTTCAGAACAAAAATAATGTCATTGTTTTTTTTTTCTTTTTTCTTTTTTCGATCTAAAAGGGAAAGAAGAATCTCACTTTGTTTGTGACTTCATTTTTGTCTCATAATAAAAGACTTGCCAAAGTTTATTACTCAAAAGTTAAATTCCCCATGAAAATAAGTATCAACTTTAGTTGATAACTATATGGGCCTAAGTTTGCATATTATATACAGTTTGTTAATGGTTANCTATGTCTAATTCTGGTACTTTGGACTATTTCTTGTAGAGATATGAATTTTTATTTATGTCTGTTAAAATTGTAAAACACTTTATCATCTTAAATTGAAAATAAAATTTTAAAGCTTAATGTTTTTTTATTTATAATTAGTTTTTCATATATATGCATCAAATTAATTATGTTTTTACGATATTTAGTTAGACATCCATATGACATATTGTATGTCAGAGATAATATAATTTTAAGAAACATTTTTAATAAATTATTATTATTAATATTATTATTTATTTTTTTGTAGAACTCCTTTTAAGTGTAAATTTTTTAATTGATACCCATATAATACTTACAGTTAATAATTCTATAATAACTTCACTTCTATGAACATGGGTTCATTAAGTCACTAAGAAAATAGTGGTAATTACATTAATTAGTTATATCTGAAAATGTCTAAGCGTGTTGAAATTGTACTCCCGATATTTTACGTATATTCACATACTAATCTTCGTTGATTGCATTATTCCCGTTTGCTATTATATCACTCTGAAGATTTCTCCATCAACAAATCAAGAGTGTGAAGTGTTGAATGATTAAATTCTTGTTATAGAGTGCAATAAGTCCACATAAATGTCAAAAATCTTGTACAAAATAGAAAAAACAAATATTTGAAGACAAAATACAAATATTGTAAAATAAGCGATTGTTAATAAACAAGAATTCCAAATAAGCGATTGATACATATGATTGATACATATGATTGTATTAGCTGATATGAAATTGTATTAGCTAGTTTGGCAAACATATTCAATTAATTTTTTGACAAATAAGCGATTGCTAATAAACAAGAATTCCAAAATAAAATAGAGATCCACTTGTAAGAAATTGTAGTTTTTGAGCAATGTCTAAACTGCCAGACAGACAAAAGTTGGACTAATTAAATGGGCTTGTAAGAATTTATTGTTTTTGGGCCATTAATTTGTCAAAAGTACTTTGACCATCAATTTGAAATGGGATGATTTTTCAAATTTAGTCCAAATTTGATGGCCCAAAAGTATAGCTAGCACACTTTTATAGATGAAACTAATGCTAAACAATAGTCCAAAAAACATGCACTTTTGTAACTGGGGTAAGAATATGACAAATTGACAATAGAGGCTGCATAAAAAAGAGAAGTGTGCTAGCTACTGTTTAGCTTTAGTTTCAGCTATAAAACATGCACTTTATAATTTAGAACAATTTTTAGGTGAAAATAGTAATAGGGTATAGTAAAACCAAGGATAACTGTCATTGAATCATGCTATATTATCAAAATGATAAACATGTGTTCCATAAATCAATTGATAAATCGATCTGGTAAAGTAGACTAACATTAACTATGATTTTGCAAGTTTATCATACAAGTTATTTTGTATCAAATTTCATGTCAAGAACCCGAATTATTTCTTTTCAACATTGAATTAAAGTTCAAAGAAAACGAACAAACAAAAAATAAATAAAAAATTGCAACAAATAAATAAATAAATAAAATCAACATAATTATTGCAGGTTTGGTCGTTTTTTTCATAAGTCAAACAAGCCCATATAAAGTGCAACACTCATCTCACGACACACCTTATCTTGTCCCTTTCCCCTACATTTCCAAAATGGATGTAACGATACGAAGTACGTTAATAAGTTTAATAAATAATTATTTTGATCTACTTCACAAATCAATTCTCCTAAATTGCTCAATAGTTTATTTGTTTGTTAGAAACCATTATTTAAATATTATTCCTATAAACTTTAGCATTACTATTCAATTTTACTATGGAATCGTAAATAACACGACTTGTAAAGTCATCCATAATTATTTAAATATAATGTATTAATATATATATATATTCAGAACTAGTGTCGATATGTCAGTTTAGGAATGACTCCATATATAGGTTAGTCATAAGCTGATTCTACGAAATTTACTTATTAAGTTATTGTGTAGTTGTATTTAAATAAAAATAATCTATCAACACACGTGTGTGTGTATGTTCATGAAAGCAAACTCATATGGCCATTGCAATATCCAATAAAACCCATAAAAAATGGTTGAAAATTTAGTTTAATGGTTTGATGATGAAAGCACTCAAGAGTTCTAGTTAATTGATCTAATGTACAAGTGCGATCTTAGTTGGAGGGTTTCCATTTATTATTTAATCTTAAAGTACCATCAACATATTAACCATCTAAACAAAAGAACTCAATAATAATCAATCTTAAATTGACACTAGTTTTTCTTCATTATTAAGTGAGACTCTCCATGCTTTATTGGGAAACAGTTGACTAGCTACAAGTACAAAACTTTTTTTTTTTTATATATATATTTGGTCTTGTATTATGGAAAATGCATGTGATTAGAGGGTATTTACTAAAATGCAAAGTCAGCATTATTAACATTATGATAAAATGTCTACTCTCGACCAACCAAAAGCAGCAGTATTTATTAATTAAAAAATGAATTAAGATGAAGCTCATTTTATTAATGATGTTGAAAATTTTAATAATTTTGTCCACTTTTAAATAAAATTGTGACATTTTATTCTGTGCGTGACACATCTTCATAAAATAAAATTTAAAGGAATAACCCTTCATTTACATCCACATAAAATTAATATCCCAAAGTGTAGCACAAAAGAACTCT